CGATGTTTTGGACAATGATGTAAGCATGTTCGGCTGCGTAACCAACAGCATTTCTCACCATGCAGGTGTATTTGCCTTCGTCCCTCTTTGTGACATTTAACAAAGTCAACTTCACTCCGTGGAAATCAAACTTTTTGCCACTACTTGGTGGCACAATTACAAGTTGGTCTGTTTCTCCTTTATTCACGATTTCGTAGTGAGGACTTTCAATTGAACCGTTTACCGAACTGTTGGCCGAACCGTTGGAACGTACAGGAAACCACCTTAACCACTGGAAATGAGGCATGGAGTCACTTAATGCTTTGCATGTTAAGCTGGCATTCTCTCCTCGATAAACTGTGACATTTTCCATGGGTAGAACGACTGGTTCAGCACGAGCTCGTTCTAAAAAATTTAAAAGAGAATACTGTCAATACTGTCAATGTAACCCAAAAACATCCATTGTTTCGTTACTTGTAATGTTTATTTTAATTTGACTTTTTAAATGGGATTTATATTGACCACAAGAGTTTGAAGATTCTTTTCTCAGATAAAGAAAATCGTGAGTACTATTCAGAGTCTGTGTCAGCTAGAAAAATTTGAAGGATTTTTCCTCTTACCATGAACATCTACTTTGTATGTATGATTAATCCATCCGTATGAGTTGCTCACATTACACATGTATGACCCAGTGTCAGAGGGAACCAAGTCCTTCAGACTCAACAAGGTTGTCCATCGACTCGAATAAAGTTTCCTTTCCTTAAACAATTTTCCGTCTTTATACCATTTCACGGTAGGACGAGGGTTTCCATCGGCAGAACAGTCCAGCCGAACAGAGTTTCCAACGGGTACTGCAAGAAGGCTGCGCCTCATCTTGCTTTGCGGTACCGTAAATCTTGGAGCAGCTGTGAAGCGCAGAACAGCCACAGTATTTGAGCGTTGAACTTCTCGACAACTGCCCGGAAGCCACCCCTTACTAACACATTTCAAGTTAGAGTCTAAACATTATTTTATTCTAAGTGTTCTACAGTACTGATCTTTTGATGATGGTTCAGAGTTTTATCACATGCGGGGCAAAATTACTGAATGCAGATTTGCTGAGACAGAGAGTACTTTTTTCTTAATCACGTGGGAACTATTGGTAATCAAGAGGGCATGATTGCTTGATGCTGATTGAGCCATATTGCTGTTTGCGGCATGGATTTATTGATTGCAATGTAACTGAATGAAGCCATGCATGTAACATTGATAACTGTATTCTGTGAATAAAGTGTTGATTGAATCTCTTTAAGAGTTACGTTTTTTTTACATTTGTGGCGGCATTGAAAGGGCCTCATCGCGCGGACATCGTTCGCAAATGCAATTTCCTCAAATATTTTGGAGGAGTGAGGTACCACAGGAATCAGAGCAATTACTGTAAATTATATTACTGCTTTAATGTCTATGTGAAGAATTATTT